ATGACCACCGCCACTGACCACAAGAAGAATCTCAATCGTTCTACCCTCAAAAAAGACTATGCCCGCACACTGCGAGTTGAGACAATAGCCAATTCAGCAGGTGGAACAGCCGCAGTCGCAATGGTCGCCCAACCAAGCACAGGATTCTTGAACGGAAGGTTCCACCCGGATGGCTCCCCTACAGAAGACACCGAAGATTGCCTTGGACGTATCACGGTGGGGCTCACCAGAGCAAAATCATTGACCCTAGTAGTCTCACCGCTGGATATGATGGGACTTATTGGCATGGTGTCAGAATTTCCGACAGGTGGTCACGATAGCATCTGTCCACTCATGGCTTTTCCTTGTTTCGCACGTATCACTAAGGGGGGCTTGAGTTTAAGCCCACGGTTCATTCAGCATCATATGTCACAGAAAGGACATGTGGATTTCACACATCCCCCAATTCTTGTTTCTGTGACATGCTCTTGATCCGAGAGACAGCAATCGGATCATCTTTCTTTACAGGATCCACTGTCGTACATTATTCCAAGGAACCATTCATCAAACTTACAAAAACACAAACCACGCACAAACACAAAAAGAAAGAAACAACAACCACATCAGTCATCATCATCATCCTTATCACCATTCTCCGTTTCAGTTGGCCTTGCGCCTTTCTCCCCGCCTTTTGCCCATTGTTGTATGAGCTGATCTTCCTTGACTTTGAACTGTCCTGTCGTCAATACTTTACGCAACAAATCCTTGGGTGCTTTGATCTTGGTCAGAATGTCAGCTAGCATGGCATATGTGGGTTGCCACCAAAGGTATAACCCGTCTCGTTGAAGATCTCGTTTCAAGAGTAGCATTTCGATTGCCAGTCGTTTATCCTTGATGGTCACGATTTCAGACATGCAATTATCGTATACCGGTTTGGAGTCCATAAAAATATTCAAAGGAGTTTTGGCGGTATAAATGGCATCTTCTTCCAAGCTATACTTCCCAAACTTGAGCTCACTCCAAATAGATCTCATCCACTTGGCTTCCGCAATGGCACGTGAAAGTGACAGTAATTCCGCTCCCAAACTGGAAGCCACTTGTCTGTCTTGCTTAAAGCTTTTCCACCTCCATGGCGAAAATACTCCCCATGTACCATGTCTGAGCTCTCGCGAAGTGCCAGCAATCAGATATCCTCCTTGACTTTTTCTTTCAGTTGCGTTTGCCCAGGAGGCATCGCTCCACACGCTAATTTCCAAATCATCACTTGGCACTGATTGCAACACAATCGTTCCATGGGCAAAGTCACGCACAATACCTACTAACTTGTTACATTCAATCAAATCTTCAACACAAGCTTGAGAAATCCGTTGCTGCAAAAGCGAACATGCCGCAGAAAGATCAGGTCTACTGCTCATAGCAATCCAGTTCACTTCTCCTAACAAAGTTCTCATCTGACTCTTTTCGTTTTCATTCACAAGATCATCTTTCTGTTTTCTACGCTCCTTACTGATCTTGATACATGCAACCGCCTGTGAATACTCCCTCTGAGAAATGACAATGCTCATGTCCTTCCTTTGTTCAACCTTTTTACCTAAGAAATCTCCACCACCAAGGTGCCAGTGCTTAAAGGGGTATTTTTCACGAAGAGGAACCAAGACACTGTCATGAAAATTCTTGTTGCCACCCATGGCAAGATCGTCCACATGGATGGCCAACACCCCCTGCAGTATCCCATGTACATCATGTTTCATGAAAATGCAGGGGTCGAAGCTTGACTGTTTCAGACCACATGACAACAAAAAGGCCCGAATGGATTTGTACCAACAATTAGGTGCATCGGCTAATCCGTACACTGGCTTCACCAATTCAATGATCGCATCCTGATCCACACCAGGAATGCCGCCTGCCGGAAGCCTCACTAGCACCTTACCTTTCTTTCGAAAAATGGGGTCGCCTTTCAGGAAAGCACCTTCAATATCCCCAATGACCAGACCCCACTTAAAGCTAGCTAAAGCCTGCATCACCACTGCAAAACCCTCGGCACTAAGCGTTGGAGCGGAAGTCTGAAGTTCCATCAGGTCAGGATCCAAATAACCACATATGCACCACCTGGCCTTGAGAATGCCTTCACTCAATTGCATTTCGTCATCAGGATTAGTGATGACAAAACGTGATTGCAACAAACGGTCAACCCCAACCTCTCTGATGAGCTCCTGTGCCTTAGCTCCAGTGTGCACCACTACCGCTTTCGAATTCAACATTTTTGCCCACTCCTTCTCCTTGGCTGCCTTCAGCTGCGGCTGCCTTTCTTTAGGAATGGTACGTTCAATGACCTCCTTACGACCCTTCTTTTTTTCATGGACAAGAAACACATCATCAATGACAACCATGCTATCCATTTCCGTGACATGTGCATCACGTTCATGCTGCAACGTGGCATGTTGTCTCAACCGGCCATGATCAAGCAAATCAAGGCTGTGCCTCATCGCCCTTGTGAGACTAGACGTCCGGATTGGACCATATTGAGTATCAGTCTGTTGAGGGCTCGGCTCATGTTGCGTGATTTGTTCCACACTTGTGTCAAGACCATGTTCCTCATGCAAGTGCCCAGATGAGTCAATGTCCCCCTCACTATATGGCGTTTTCACATGACTCCCTTCAGACTCTTGCGTCCCCAGAGAGTTTCGATCATTACAGTATCTTCTTCTTCTGTGGACATTCATTCCGACATGTGGATTCAAAGTGTTATCAAGACGCGGTCGTTGCGCGACATGTTGCAACTCTTGAAGTTCATCATCATGACTTTCAGGCCTACTTCTCACAACAGCAACTCCCATGCCAAATTCCTGCATGAGGTCTTTCTCAAGCTCATCATCATCATCAATGGAAACCTGTGGAACCTGTTCACCTGTTTCATCTGGCGGTGAAGGTGGTACATGCTGATCACTCAGAACCACCACATTTCCAGCTCCACGTTCAGCGGCTTCACTTCTCAAGACACGTAAATGTTCGGGCAACAAACGAATCAGGGATTCTTGTTCCTCACTTGGTCTTCGAAGATGTTCCAATGAACACCTGTAAACTTTAAGACCTTGCGACACCCAAATCCGCGACCCAACACGACCAATCACATGACCCGGACCATGCCATGAAAAACATGTTTTTCCTTTTCCCTTGCGCCACACAAAAGCCAAATCGCCAGTATTCCAAATGTCTTTCGAAGGTCTGTTTCTATGATTCATGAGAACGCGCATCTTGTTTTCAGAATCTGCCTCCATGAACGCCTTCCTAGCACTACAACGGATCTGGAACCTTCTCTCAAATCCCTTTTCTCCTGCTCTCAAGGCAGAATCAATGACCTCGTCATGTTGACCTGTCATGTGCAAACCAGGCAATCTCAGATCAGTTCCAAGAACATGTTGCGCGGGACTGAATCCATCCTTACGTATGAGACTGTTGTGCGCACCCGTGACATGATCACAAATCTCCTCAACTTCACGCTTCGCGTTCGGGACATGTTCCAAAAGAGTTTTATGAAAAGCCGTTTTCCAAATGCCTCCATGCCGTTCCACAACACCATTCTGCCAGGGGGACCATTCAGCTGAAGCTTCATGTTGCATGCCATCATGTTCCAACAAACTCGAAAAAGGATCACCAAACTCAGAACCACCATCCGACCAAAGCCTTATGGGAGGTCCAGCCCAACGCAACCAAGATCTACGATACTGTTTCCTAACATGCTCAGCTTTGGCTCCTTTCCACAGCGGGATCACCATTTGATACCGTGTTGCGGCATCAACACTGTTGAGCATCTTCAGCATTCGCCAAGGCAGCTCGACTTCAAACGTATCGCAGCAAACAACTTGATTGAACTGCGTTGCATTCTCCAACTTAGCTACCCGATGACTCTTAGTCGGTTTGAGCGCTTCACAAGTGCTACACGTCAACCCTTTAGCAATAGTCAAAACTTTCTCGTTTGCCCTAGCAGCCCTCAGCATGGCCATGAAACGTGGAAGCGACGGATGCCCTAAACTATCATGACAGCGTTTCAGGATATTGGCAATTTTCCTCTCATTGTCCCCGCACCCCAAGTCCTCGATTGCCAAAACCGAGTGAGTTACTCGACTCTGTTTTCGTTCTTCCTGTTCATCCTGAATTCCAAGACAAACTGCTCTGCAAAAGTCATCTGGATACTCTTGCGCGAGATGTGATCTAGGAACCCACGATCCATCCAATTTGACCTTACCCATGACATGTTGATGACTGTGTTTACCATCACAAGCCTTCCACAAACGATTCTTGATGTGCTTACTAGTGGTCATGATCCTAGTTCCCTTTTGGTGCGGCATGTGACTGATTCTTTACATGCACTGATCCATGTCAAAGACCTGAACACCTTCATGCCTCATCATTTGCTGAACAGTCCTATCTTGCCAAGAGGTCGCTCTCTTTGGTTGTTCAAAAAGAAAATGTTTCCCCGCTCTCCGTCGCTGATCAGCAATTCGCATTGCAAAACGAAGCAGAACCCTTCCCTCTTTTCAACCACTCTTTAGAGTTACGGTTTCTACGAAAATTCTGGAGGATACTAAAAGGATCACAAGGCGGACAAATGACAGTGAGGATAGGATCAGCCTTCTCAATCTCGAGCAGCACGCGATCTTGCTCCTTTTTGTCAAGCAGATTGCAGCCAAGCCGAATGTCATATGTCTGGCCTACCGTGGGACCGGCCATGGATGCCATCTTGTTTACTCGAGGCATTGAAAAAACTTCAGTCACATCGGAACTGAACATGTCAAATGAACTCAAAATTGACTTGTAACAGGTCATATCGCTGATCTTCATTTTCCATGCGAAGTTTGTCTACAAACTCTTGCACTCCTGCTAACAGAGTCTCATACTCTTCATTGATCTTCCGATTCATTTCATCAAAGCCCGCATCATGCTGAGATTTTCCGGCGTGGGGCAAGCACGCAGGTCTCGAAACATCTGCATCATCTTGTACTGGTTGACGTTGTTCATGCTCAGGTAGTTCTGCACCATCTCGACCCACTGTGGCTCACATGGGTTTGCTCTTCCCACTGATTGTCTTTTTCTCCTAGCAAAATGGTCTCCCATTCCTCCGTCTCCATGGTATTTGTGTGTTGGCTCCATCCGGTTCCCTCTCGGGACTTTCTCACTTGTCCACGGGATCCTGGAGTTGATTTGCTCTTTGGAGTTGTCATTGGGGTCTTCACGGACACTTTGGGAGTCACTGGTTCTTGAAGTCGTCGAAGCTGACTGGACTGAGATCGGTTCACACGGATCTTTTTCTGGGCATCGCGCATCTCTATGTACAGCCGAAGCTTGACCATACATGCTGTCGCTGATGAGTTCTCGTGAATGTGAGTCCTCACCCATTGAATGTATGGTTTGTCTACTTGATAGATCTGGCCGATTGGGATTCTGGATTTCAGGTTCTTGCCGTACTTGCCCACTGTCACGGTGTGAAAGCTCTTGACTGGACAGCTCAGGGGATCGTCCTCGGACATGTCGCTCAAGGCGTCCAGATCCTGCATGGCCATCTCGGAAGGATCTTCTCCGAAGTTGTCCTGGAGTTCCTTCATGAGCCGTCGAGCTAGAGGTGTCTGACTCGAGCTTGGCCCTTGATACGAAATCTTCTCCTAACAAGCAGGCACTCGGCTCAACTGACTTTCGAAATACGTGGCTGCTCTTGTTTGAGAAAAGAGGTATCGCATAGTGGCCTCTCTCAGTGATGCCAAGTTTCACTGTGGTGTTGAGTCGTTTCATAAACATCTCATCATCATTCATATTCATCACGCATCCTAACCACTTCAACAGTTCCTTGGAAAGCAAAAGAGGTGTGCTTGACCCCGCTCCTGGCAACACTGCTGCGTGAATGACAACATTCCTACCCCCAATGTTACTAGGAATCATCGCAACCTCACTGGAAACAAGCTCACCACTATTCCCAAACCTAAAGTAGGTGTTCACCTCATGCCTTCCACAAACAGTACCCCCTAACTGCTCAACATGCCGTTCCATCTCCCGCAGCGTGTAATCGCCGATGAGCGTCTAGCGGCAGGCTGTGTCTGGTACTGCGTGGCTCCCTAATGGAGCTGGGACCTGGTGAGAACTGCGCCCTCCAGTGCTGTGACTGGAGTAAGCTTCAAAAGTTGGCTCCTTGCCCCCCAAAACCTGTGCTTCAAAATTTTCAATCACATTCGGATCCAAAAAGGGTGGATGCTCATTCTGATGCATGACCACCTGTCGGGCACTTTCTCCCTGTTTTTCATGTGACTGAACCTTGATCTCAAACGTGGTATGACCCTTCCACTTTTTCGGCAACAATCTACCCGGGTGACTCGACTGCTTGAAATTATCCTGGATGACATCTTGAGTACCATCTTCATAGTACACAACCGTTTTTCGCATTCCAGTAAAATTATCCCAAGCAATGCCATGCTCACTGGTTCCATTGGCGTGTACAAGGCCTTTCTCAACTTGCGATGACTCTTTGTCCAGCTATCTCCAACTGATGCACTACCTGTCACTTCTGCAGCTGCTTCGCATGATCTCTCCTCGTCCTTGTGGTGCTCAACATCCTCATGGACAAAGACATCACCAGCCTCAGTATCGAGGATTTCCATTTCGCAAAAGTGCACTTCTCTTGTATCAGTCTTCCCAGATTGCTGACCCTCTCTTTTCGCAAACCGATCCGGACATTCTTTTTTCCAATGACCAAGTTTCTTGCACACATTGCATCTAGTTCGTGCCTTGACCGCTTCAATGCGACCACGAATGCTGCCTTGAATGTTCCACTGCTTTGACATCGGCCGATATCCCCTTCCAGTCTTCTTCTCCTGGACACGTTTCTTGATGTCCTTATAAGACTCATACACTTCCAGGGCATCTTCCGATTCATAGTCACTTCCCTGTCCTTGAACTTGATCAGCGATACCTTGCCAGACCTCAAAGATCTCGCTTCGCTCATCAGCCTCATCATCGTCTTAAGGATCACTAATGTCACTATATAATGTGATGCGAACCAAGCTGCTCATTCACAAAGACATCCTTGGTCTTGTTGGTGCGGCTCAGGTCTCCTTTTCCATGAGGAAAAACGGCCTTGATTCCGGTCACAACATTTTTGTAGGCAAGTGAGCCCTGAGTTGCTGTCAGGAGCAAGGCTTCCTGAGTAGCATCAAGATGCAGCTTTTTCATCAAGAACCAACCTCTGACTTCCCGTGGGAGTTCCACTTCATGTGCCACCAGCAGCCTGTAGGATGTCTCGAGCCTGACAATGAAAGCCCTGAACTCTTCTCCTTGGCGGATGGTCACCGTGTAGAAGTATTCACGCCAGGCTCTTTGCAGCTCGTCTTGTTCTCGTTCTTGATACTTGGCATCCAAGATATCAAACACCAGCTTGTATCCTTCTTCTTCGAAGATGTCTTTGACAGGTGTATTTTCAAGCAAATCCCAAGCCTCGCCGGAAAGAGCTTCCAAGAGTCGCGGTCCCCACTTGGATTTACCAACTGTCGAAGGTAATCCTAACAGACAACTCCGCTCTTTTCCTCCAGCGTTTGTACTCCTGGGCACTCCCTGAGAAAACTTCTAACTTCGTGGATCTTTCGTCTTCCCTTGGTCCAGCCACACCCGCCAGCACTATGATCTAAACCCTAGACCCGGCTAGCGGAATCAACAGTGCTCCGCTACCAGCTGTCAAAATTTCCGACAGGTGGTCACGATAGCATCTGTCCACTCTTTTTTTCCGTCCTCCGCCTCTTGGCTTGCATGTTGCAGCGATGAGTGAATTAGCTGACGCAAAGACTTATGAGGGGCCGCAAAAGTAAACTGGTGGTGGACCGATACATAGTCCAATGCCGTCACAATTCCGTCACTTTTTTTTTCCTCTGGTTTGGCCGATCACGCTCTAAGGCTCGGTCCTTACATGAGAAGAAGCTGTTATCAAGAAAACTTCAACATGGACACAGGTGGTCGCATGAAACATGGCAAATCATAAGAACCAAAACACAAACCACCAAAAACAAAAGGCAAGACGCAGATCCCCCAGCCAGATTTGCGTCTCACCATCCAAAGGACCGCAAAGCAAACAGCGAAAGGGGCAAGAGCCCAACAGAAACAACCACAAAAGAGATTTGCCAAGGACACAGTGGTAAAAACCCACTGTGTCGCAACTGACTCAAAAACATGCAGCAAACGAATTAGTTGCCACCCAGTAAAGTGAGACACGCGATCTACGTTGTTGCCAAGAAGACAACAAAAGGTCACATTTGCTATACACTATAGCCTAACCCAGCCTCTCAGAGTCCTCTCACAAGTACTTGTTCATGTGCCCATGTTCAGAACAAGAGCAGGTACCATAAAGCGTCAGCTAGAGCAGGAGAAAGATGACGTTGGCGGCCAGGTGTCTTCGTGCCCCTCCCCATTGCGGGGAGCGGCCCAGTGGCTACGACAATGCGGTCACACAGGGCCAGGTAAGTGACCATCCGTCACAAGCCACTATAAAACATCAAGGGCGTCTCAGGGTGGACATGACTACCATGCCCAGTCAAAAGGGAGAACGTCTCAGGCACTATCACTATCAAGCATGGTCAGCACCTCATCGTTATGTCTAATGACATGCTTGCCGTAGCGGTAAACTCTTCATCAAAACATGCATTGTCACGGAGGCGCCAAGCTGAAAAATAGCTGCAGAACTGTTCAGGTGCTCCCAGAGTGTCTTCGTCTCAGCAAAGTACCTTATTTCAAAACTTGTGGCTGCTACCTACTCATGTCCCACCCCCACGTGTATACGCCGCAAACCAAAGGGATAAACGCCAAACTGAACCAAGGGTGGCGGGGAAAATGCCAAACTGAACCAGTTGAAACCCTAAATGCAAACTCGGCTGTAAACAAAAACGCATCCACAAAAGTTCCATCACTGCTGACGATTGAAGAACACACAGCGGCCCTTTTCCAACGGTGACATGGGGGATCGATAAATCCTGTATGTCCAATGGGCTGCAAACTCAGCCGCCAGCTTCACTGATCCAGTCAAGCTCGTTGCAAAACTGTCAAGCTGAAGAAAACTGTCCCACAAATGACCAGATGCTCTTTCGCAGCTTGTAAGGCCAAGAAATCACTGTTCAATATCTCCCAGGAGCACAAGGTGAAAAATCTTCGTCAGAACCAGCGAGATCACTGTACAACACAGGTGCTATTGTCAAGAAGTTGACAGCAAAGAACATATAGTTCGATCATGAGTTCAACACTAATAGAGGCACTCTGCAAAGGCTGCCTCAAAAGCTGTAGCTGTACCAAGTTGTTGTTTTGCCAAGGGTGAGGAGGGTGGGGGCAAAACAACCTCAATTTAAGAGGTGTCCCACCACCCACCCTCAGCCAAATTCCACGAGGATATCATTCATTGAATGTTCATGTATGTTCCATGTAAACGAAGTGCACTTTCGAAACTGTCAAGAATGTCAGAATTGAACCTGTACCTGTGAGTACCTTTTCCACTGAATTGCAGCGACACTGAAAAAGTGATTTGCAAAAGAAACAGCATTTGTTTTCCCATTTGTTGTTGGCCCTTGGTTCAGTGCACGTGAGTAAGGAGTGTTTGCCAAAACAGACAAAAGAAGATAGCAGCACGAAACTTTGTTTCTCACAAGTTTTGAAATAAGGAGCTATCAACAAGTTGACCGCTTACTTATTTCAAAACTTGTGGCTGCTACCTACTCATGTCCCACCCCCACGTGTATACGCCGCAAACCAAAGGGATAAACGCCAAACTGAACCAAGGGTGGCGGGGAAAATGCCAAACTGAACCAGTTGAAACCCTAAATGCAAACTCGGCTGTAAACAAAAACGCATCCACAAAAGTTCCATCACTGCTGACGATTGAAGAACACACAGCGGCCCTTTTCCAACGGTGACATGGGGGATCGATAAATCCTGTATGTCCAATGGGCTGCAAACTCAGCCGCCAGCTTCACTGATCCAGTCAAGCTCGTTGCAAAACTGTCAAGCTGAAGAAAACTGTCCCACAAATGACCAGATGCTCTTTCGCAGCTTGTAAGGCCAAGAAATCACTGTTCAATATCTCCCCTCTTAACCGATGATTCCAAAAGTATCTTGATGATATCCTGAAGTTCAGTCTCAGGAATTTTACACTCAGCTCCAGATTCTATCAAATACTGGACAACTCCTCGTGAAGGGTCATCTGCTATATTTGATGGCGTGGGTACACGGGTGTACCATGGTGTTACGTTTGTAGCCATTTCAAGCTTCAGAAGGAACTCTACCAACACGCTTGCAACGCAATTTCTGCCACATCCTGAAATTGCAACATCCCTTGCAGAGTTGTTATCCACAAAACAAATAACACTCGAAGATCCAATGATTGACCTCCAGACAGAAAAAGCCAGTACCATGGCCAGCAGTTCCGCTTCAAAGATGATGGTCTTTTTGAACTCAGCACCCAGCGCACGCCTTTGTTCTGTTGACAGTTCCATTGAAAAGAACGCCACCTTTTCACCAAGCGGATTCACAAGCACCCCACCCAGACCACATACCCAGTTGGTCCGTTGAGGCTCATAGCATGCGTCGGTGTAAATGGTCCAAACAGAGTCGGAAGCCAATTCCAAACTTCGAGGTTCTGCATAGTTAAGAAAAATCACAAATCTTCTCAAGGCATCAACCGTTGGTTTCTCAAGTTTATCACCCCGACCTTTAAAAGCATGTTGCGTTATGGCTTTCATGCACAACTTTCCCAAACGACCAAAGACTTGTCCATCTGCAAACTGCATTCTCCCTCTAAGCTTCTGCGATTCCAAAACAGTCATCCGACCCTTCCTGATGATATCTTCTATGGCGCTGGTCAGCTCTGTAATGCGCTTCTCTGTGTTGATGAAACTGACTTTTCCCAAGCTTGCATTCTCCAAATTGAGGCGCGCACCCAGCGCTGAAAAATCATCACCAAAGCAGGTCGCTTTCTCACCCTCTTCTGCAAATTTCCACCCTAGTAGTCTGAACAGAAGTTCAACAGTGGCTTCCGTATTTTTGACATGGAGCTTCTGAGAGAAAACCACATAGTCGTCGAAAAACACACTCCACATGATTTTCAGAGCCCTGACACCAGTGAACCAAATGGCATGTGAGATACGTAAAAATGAATACACGCTTCTTGTTGCACCAAACGGTGCTGCAAGCAACTGGTACAACTCAGCCCTTTTCTTGTAGGGGTTATATATGGCTACAAAGGCAAACTGCAAGGATGACTCAGCGATTGCAAGTTGCTTATAAGCGCTTTTTATCATTTCAAGAACAAGTACTGCACCACGCACGCAGAGGGAACCAAGAGAAAGGGTTGGCAAGAAACCCAAACATAAACAAAACCAGAGAGAGGCAAAGCGACCCCATCACATAAAATAAAACCAGGGCGTGATAGGTCAAAAATTCGCAAACGTTCCGTCTCTCACTTCGCAAACGTCGCAAAACAAATCTCACCGCAAAATGAAAAACAACGACATCCGACAGCATGCACATCGAAACAGGGAATGCAAAACACATGAACATTCGAAATGAAAAAGAGAAGCCAGCATGTCAGAAATCAGCGCCTCGCCTTTTTTCTGCGACAGGAATGGGGGATCTTACGTGTCCCGCCCATTAAGGGCTTAGGGAGTGGCTTGTTGCAGTGGTGGGTCGGTGGGCGCAACAAGCCAACTCAACAAATGAGTTGAACCCACCCACCCACCACTGAAGCCAAAAGGTTGGTGGATATTAGATAATGTCATGCAGCCACGACAAGAATCTCAAATCCACAAGAAACTTGAACACATAAAAGTTCAGGAAACAAAACTGAAACAGTTGGAAGACATGACAACAGAGTCGGCAGTTTCAGTTTGTGAATAAAAATGGGTTTCAGGAAATAAACGCGTGCAAACGCGCAGCGCGAGACGCGTGCAAGAAACCCCAAACACCAGTGCGTGCAGCAGTACGCGTCACTCTGTGCAAAGTGGCACAGAGCCACAAGTAAAGGAGTGACATTGTTCCTTAAAGATAAAGCTGTATCTACTTCGTAGAAGAAAGCTTATCATTTCAAGAACAAGTACTGCACCACGCACGCAGAGGGAACCAAGAGAAAGGGTTGGCAAGAAACCCAAACATAAACATAACCAGAGAGAGGCAAAGCGACCCCATCACATAAAATAAAACCAGGGCGTGATAGGTCAAAAATTCGCAAACGTTCCGTCTCTCACTTCGCAAACGTCGCAAAACAAATCTCACCGCAAAATGAAAAACAACGACATCCGACAGCATGCACATCGAAACAGGGAATGCAAAACACATGAACATTCGAAATGAAAAAGAGAAGCCAGCATGTCAGAAATCAACGCCTCGCCTTTTTTCTGCGACAGGAATGGGGGATCTTACGTGTCCCGCCCATTAAGCCCCCACTCGCATTCGAATGGGACCGTTGATCCACCTCCATGCTTCATCAAGCATTCGATCATTCCGATAGGAGCACGCGTTCGCATTCCTCCAAGCTTCTCAATCACTTCAAACTTCCCACGAGACGGAGCGTCTCCAAGATTAGAGTGGGTCGGAACCCTGGCAAAGAAAGGATGAACACAAAGTTCTGCCTCGGCAGAAGTTCCAAGGTGCAACATGTGCTGTGCCGCCTTGGTCGCAGCAAAACCAGAAATCCAAGCAGAACGAGCACCTTCGTTGTCAATGAAGACGAAAATACACTTGCCCATCAGATGCCGTTTCCAAAGCATGAGACTGACGGCATATGGCATTACTTCTGCCTCAAAGATATACTGTTGCTGTTGGTTCCAACCCCATTCCGCCATCCAATCCTGCGGAAGCACTTCACCAAAGCACTCACGCACTGAACCGTCTGGAAAAACAAGTCCCCCGCCGATCGAGGTGCCACACCAAATGTCGTCACTTACCCAATCGGTGCATGCACCATCCAAAAACAAGTAAAAAGTCTCTGAATCTCTAAAGTCGATCTTTCGCGGCGGGCCAGCAAGAACTCTATCCCGTAGCCAAAGCAAACTCTGGCGCACATTGGGCGACAAAGGAGTCATGTCGCTGGTGTCCAGCCCCACTCGGCCAACCTCGTGCAGGGCTGCTTTGGCGAATCTGCCAAACACCTGTGCATCCGCAAACAACAACCTGGATCTCAGCGAAGTCGCCTCGGCAACCGTCAACAAATCTGAACCAAGGATCTCCTCAATCCTGTTACTAAGTTCAGCCTTGCGGCTGGGAGTGTTGCCCACCGTGAAGCGTGAAGAAGCCGTCTTGCATGGTTCTCAGGTCAAATTCCACTCCCAACGCTTGAAACTTCGAGCTGAAGGCATGGTCTTTGGCCTCGTCCGTAGACAACTGCCACCCCAAAGCCTGGAAAAACAAGCGGATCATCCTGTCAACCTGTAGGGCAGCACAAGGGGGGCATACGCACACAAAGTCATCGTAGAAGGAAGACCATATCAAAGCTGCCTGGGAAACCCCTAGGCTTTTCAAGGCTTGTGAAAGTCTCAGGAAAGCGCCTACCGACGCCGTGGCGCCGAAAGGCATAGAGTCCATGCGGAACAGGCGTGGCTCACCAGCGTCGGGGCTCCACACGCTGATCCAAGCAAACTTAAGGTGTTCAGGCGCAATGCCAATTTGGCGGTATGCCTTCCTGAGGTCATAGGAACGCCCAACCAACTTAGGCACCCCTGAACTTCTTTGCGCCCATGCTTTGATCATCGCACAGATCTCGTCAATGGAGTCCACTTGAAGTTTATCCCTAAGACCAGTTGCACTGTTGATATGGGAAGCAGAGAAATTGTCAATCGGCCTGAGCTTCGACTTCTGAAGAAGCCCAAACCTTGGAGAAGCTATTGCGCCCTTCGGGAGGTCTCTGGTGCTGTAAGGGCCCGACAAGAACCCTGCTTTCACTTCATCAAGTGTGGCTTCCCACAACAAGCGATCCATCTCTTGGTCACCTGACGCCTTTGTTGCACCTATGGAACGCGCTGCAAAAGAGGCGCTCATTTTCTCCAACGTATCCATGTGCAAGACCGGTGGCCTAAGCTTAGATGGAAAAACATCCGATGTAGGTAACCAACCACACAAAGGAAAACCAGCTGCCATCTCATCTGCAACCTTGGAATCTGGGTAGCGGCTGTCCAACAGCAGCTTTCGAAAGAGGCACAACCTTTTGCCCTTGAGAACACGCTGAAGATGCTCGGCCATACCAGCATGCAATGATTCCTCTTCGGCCTGGAGCTCGCTCATCTGCCGCAACAAGCTTTGCGAGAATCTACATTGAACACGCCGGAATTCCAATTTGTCGCCAAGTTCATATGAATCAATGGCATCCAACATCAAGCTTCCAACTTGCATCGCTCTCAAAACAGGATGAACCAAAGAGCAAGCTTTGGCAACGAAGTCTCGAGGTTCTCTCGGTATGCCAATCAATGCAAACATGGGCAACTCGGACACACTGCCATCCGGTTGCTTCTCTCGCTCAATCACCTCCCCCTTTTCATTTGTAAAGCGCACCAATTTGGACCCCTGAGGAAAACGTTGCACTGAATCAGGGATTCTCTTGCCAATGGGCAGAGTTTGCACTGCCTGTATACCATCAATTTTGAAAAGCTGTGGCTCCAACCAATCAGTCAGAAGTGGCGGCACTTTGCGGCCACGAGGAAGACAACCCAAAATGGTCTTGTTAATTTGTGAAGCTTCCAAACCATTGATATCATCCTGCAAATCTGACGGTGGAGCATGATACCCACGCGCCACAGCAAAATCGTAAATGGCCTGAGCCCATGATGCGCACATGCTTTCATTGTACGCACACTCATCAGCAGTTGCAAAACCCTCATGCTTGTCAGACTTGCCCCAAGCTAAGTGCTCATGTTGGTTGTCACACTTACGTTCAAGGTGATTGCGAAGCTCCTTGACAGAAGTCCAAATCGCTGTGTCCTTTTTCCTCTTTGCTTGGAACATGCAAGTGTGAAAAGAAAAAGCAATCAAAGAAGGGATCTCATCGGTAAGTTCTACAAAGGGGTCAGTGGCCCACATAAGTGAGCTGGCCGGATTTTCGACGCTCCATGCTGCGCCTGCACGCTCTAGGCGCACAATCATCTTCTTTGTCCACCTGTAAAGAAAATTGGCAGCAATGACCCTCTGCTTATTGATACCCTTCAAGTTCTTGAAGCCCATCGGAAATCGAATGGAACGCAAAGGTGGAGGTCCCGGCTTGATCTGCCGGGCTGCAGATGCCGTCCCACACGGCGGAGCAAAATGGCGGTATAAAATACAGTCCATAGACAAAATGTCTTCCAAAATTTTCCTGTCCGCTTTCTTTGTAATATCAATCTGGAAAACTGGTGTCCCTTTCTGCGGCTTGTGGTCCACCGACAAAACCTGAAAATTGTGCTGTCTGAGCTTTCTGGACAGCCGCCCTTTGCCGCAGAACACCTCAGCACAAACTACAGAGCCAAGCGCCTTGCAGTTTTGGGTGTCCTGCACTGCTTGTCAATTGGACCCCTTGCCACACACTTGCAAGGAGTGTGACTTGAAGCACTTGATGCACTGGTGAACTCCTTTCACGCACCGCAGCTGACCCTCTTTTGTATGGGTCGAATTTGAACACCCATGAGGCAAATTGAAATTGTAGCAAATGCGCATTTTCTTCTGATTCATTCCACTGTATCCTTCAAGCGTCTTTGGGACCAAAACACGACTTTGACGTCGTTTGTCCTTCTTGTCCGCCTTCGGATTTGTCTTTGCAGGCGAAGGATTGCCCGGCTTGGGCTTGGTCTGTTTTGGCCCTGACCTGGACCTAGATCTCTTCCTTGACAAGCCCCCCGGCGTCGGCAACAGGTGGAAGACAACTTGGGGGCTGGTGTAAAGCTCCAACATCGCAAGGTCAAGAGGAAGCTTACCTTGTTGGTTGACTTTCAAGTCCGACTTGCACTTGTCAAATGCTCGCATCCACAACTCTCGGTCAGCTCGTACTATTGCAGCCATGTCTGGGCTCTTGAAACCTGGTGGAGCATCACGCGTCATATGTGCCATAAAAGCATGCCTGATCTTCTCATGTGTGTCATACGTCATGAGGTTGGACAACTCACAAGCAATGCCACGCCGAATGAACGCGTTCTGCAGCTTCAAGTCCGTGGAGAGGTCCGCGGTGAAGTCTGGCGAAGTGCTCTTCACCTGGAGTTTTTGGTCTTCCAAGACCACTATCCTCTTGTCCACCTTCTGGCTAAGCAACTCCTGTTCCCTGCTGACACACTTGCTCAAAGGAAGATATCTCGGCGCTGCTTCTTCAATCATGGTCGTGAAGAAATCTGCTATGCAATGAGCTGGCTCATAGTCACCGGTGATCTCAAAACCTGTGATCCTGTCACTGATCCGGCGCATCCGCTCATCCCTCTCCTGAGGAGGCAGCCTTTTCACTTGACCCTCGACTGAGGGCTCAATCCGCTGCTTAATTGCAGCAACAGATATGGTGATTGCTTCATAGCACAGCTGCCTCATCATTGATTCAACACCCAGGGAGGCATTGTTGAAGGTGCTATCCATCAGATTTCGAAAACGAGCATCATCAATCTGACCTGGTTGGCCACAGACACTGAAGGCCAAAATGTTGAACGACGTGATATTCTGGTCCTTCAGCAAATCGACTTGATCCTCACTCAAGCCTATCTCGATGCTCCTGTGTCTGAAACTCGCCTTTGATTCCGCATACGCGGACATGGCAGCTCGGTCAAACCTATTGCTAAAAGACAAATAAGACCAAAGGTTTCATACCAAATTCAAGGCTTCAAACTCGTCCAGTGACATGCAAAATTCCATCAGACAAGTAAAATCCTGGTGTGTCAAAAAACGGCCATTGAAAAACATTAAAATGTTCATGAGAGTTCGGAAATCGAAAATGCTCCAAACATGAAATCAAAGAGGCCAAGTACCTCTTGCTGCATTCAGCTGTGTCTGCCGGGCATTCCCGGACTAGGGCCGATATCGACAAAATTCCATGTATGTTCATGTGATCATCAGAGCGCATCCGCTCCCAGCATGTGCTTGCATTCCAAGCTGACATATGTGCATGTTTGCATTCAAACGACCGTACGGCATTGAAATGGTGGCTGAATTTAAAAATTGAAATAAAGACTCCAGAGGCGCTCCTTTTTGTCCGTCATAGCATATGTCTCAAGCTCTTGGCTCCATGCTGCATTCAGCTGGGAGCAGGCAAACAAGCTCCTTCGACGGCCATCCTGCTTGTGTAGCAAACTTGGCATCTTGTGCATTCACATGATGCGCCGCCCTGAACAGCTGAGTACCGTCCAGATACCACTCGGCCGCATACGAACCTTTGACTGCCTTCCGACAGCAAGTGCATGACATGTGATTGCACATGCATCCATGTCACCAAGCCAGCTTTGACTTGCACCAGGTTTGGACGATGCCTAGGCTCCACAAGTTCCCACAGCGTCGTGGTGTCCAAGGGCTCAGCCTCCAATCTTTCGTCAGCATCAGACGAAGTGTCTGTATTGGAGTCATCTGTGTCGCCCACCATGCGCTCTGAGAAAGGCATCTCGTACGATTCCTCGGACTCCCCATCAGAGTTGCCCTCTGCATCGCAGCGGTCGCCAGCTGGCATTTCTGCTGCAAAACGTCCACTTCTGGTGTTGTCCGGCATGAACTGCTTCGATGCAATGAGCTGTATCACACGACACAACTCCCTCAGCGGTGGTGCCATCGCATCTCTGGAATAGATGGTGGCGCTCTTTGCACTCGGGTCCAGGTGATGACCCAAGCTTCGGCGCAATGTCAGACTGCTCCCTGCTTTGGCCATCCAACTCAATGCAGTCACTTTCAAAGAATGACTCCTGATCTCGTTCGTGCTGCCATGGGCCACTTTGAGCACGTTCCTCAAGTACCTGCCCACCTCTGAAGCTTGAAGTGCATCGGCCAGAGGAACTCCTTGTTCATCAAAACGGCACAAAAGCGGGTAAGCAAGCCCTCCTTTCGATGCTACTCCCATCGCCTCTCTGGCTTGGAGGTAGTGGTCCCACCAGCACCAATCCGAAACTCCTGTCATTGGAGCCACAAGTGGAAGGAGCGTCCTCTTGTGAGTCTGTGATCGAGCCCCTTTTGTGTGCAGAGCGCTTGCCTCAATGAACCCTGCCACTGTATGCTTGTCCAGGCTTGCACCATCGGTTTGCACTCTGTCGATGACAAGCTTGACAACCCTGGACATGTCAGAGGCTCTAGCACAGCTGTAAACCATCAGCAAAAGGCCTCCCACAAGAATCCTGTCCTGCATTGCTTCTGCCGTGCAGCACGTCTCCTCCAAAGCCGCCACCTGTCGCACTGAAAGAGGTGAAGCCTGCTTCACACAAGGTGCACGCTTTGCCAACAGCTCTGCAAGCCCTGAAACCCTTTGAGGCACTCTGTCTCGCTCCAACCCATGCAGCCCAAGCATTGCTGCACTGAATCTGACAGCTTCCAGAAAAGACCTACCAACACTTGCTGAAGACTTGGGGTCATCATGAAGTGCCCTCAAATAGGAATACAAGCTCCTCTCTGAAAGTGGAAATGCATTCAAACTCAGTGCCTCACAGTGCGCCGCATACCTGCTCATGGAACCTAATCGCTTTCCCAGTGTGCTGGTTGCCTTTGCAGCAAAGCATTCTGCCAGGCACCGCATGATCAGGTCCCGGCTCGGCTGAGATACATCTGATAGTGCATCATCCAGCACACTGAAAGCACTGCAATTGATGAGAACGAGAGTCACCCAGCCAAACAAGTAAGACTTACGCTTGCTGTTCTCATTCTCACTGGAAGCACGGCTGAAAGAACCCAGGTAAATCGGCTTAGCTGCACCTGTCCTGAGCGCCTTTGCAATGGGCGTCTTCTCCATGCTGTCGTTGGAGAGGTCCACAAAACAAGGTGCAGGTCGTTTCAATGCAACTGGTTTGAAAAGCTGGTCAACAACTGAAGTGCCACTGCCAAAAACTGTCCCCAGGAATCCATCTCCTTCCCACATAAACTTGGGAGAGTCCACAGCCAAAGTACTGTTGAAAACTTGCAGAGCAGTTTCATGATCCAAGTTCGGATTGATGTCATTCCTGTCAAAACGATCTGAGGATCCAGCAGCACTCGGAGACACTTGGTGTCCCAAAGCATCACAATCGCCAAATTGCGACCCTATTGCTCTGCGCAAGTTCAGTCGATCAATAGACTCGTCTATGCCACTACCACATGCTGACCACTCATCCAAACTCTTCATGGCGTCATTTGCATTCACATCAAAAAGATCGACATTGTCCATGTAACATCCCGAAATGACTGAAAACTGAGAAATCGGGTCATCAACCAGGCTTGCAAACTGAGAAATTGGATCAGAAGCAGAAACACCTGATGAGTTCCGGACCATCGCATCTGACTCAATTTGAAGCTCAACTTGTCCAAAAGCACCATGTTCAAATGCAAGCCGTGTACTGTCCAAATGCAAAACATCACTCTGTTGAGAAGTGTCCTGGTTTACTTCAGCAACTTCGTCTGAGTCCACGACAGTGCCAGCAACAGAAGCGCTGCCAAGCTCGACTTCAACCCCCATTGGATTTGCAAAGAATCTCTGAATCACACTGACAGCAAGTAAATGAAAATCACGATGATAACTGCAACAGCTCCACACGTGAAACCAGTCAAAAATGCCAAACCTGTCCAAAACCACGAGGCGGTACAAGAAGGCAAAGTCACTGCCTTTTGGCCTTTTTGAATAGGCTGGCCAGAGATCCACTGAGCTCGGCGCATCGCAACAAGCCAACTCAACAAATGAGTTGAACCCACCCACCCACCACTGAAGCCAAAAGGTTGGTGGATATTAGATAATGTCATGCAGCCACGACAAGAATCTCAAATCCACAAGAAACTTGAACACATAAAAGTTCAGGAAACAAAACTGAAACAGTTGGAAGACATGACAACAGAGTCGGCAGTTTCAGTTTGTGAATAAAAATGGGTTTCAGGAAATAAACGCGTGCAAACGCGCAGCGCGAGACGCGTGCAAGAAACCCCAAACACCAGTGCGTGCAGCAGTACGCGTCACTCTGTGCAAAGTGGCACAGAGCCACAAGTAAAGGAGTGACATTGTTCCTTAAAGATAAAGCTGTATCTACTTCGTAGAAGAAAGCTTAAATCGAAGGACCTGCCTTGGATTTTTGCTCCTCCGCTACTTTTCAGAATCGTCAACAGCAGGGCAGCCACGAAGTCGATTGATTGCGGCTTGGGCGATTCTGCACATTGCACCGTCTGGTTGACATTGCTAGCCGACAAGTCATCAATCAAGCGTATCTTCCCAGGTTGTCGGAGTCCAAAACGTCGGCTTACAATTGCATCAGCTGGCAGGTTCGCTATATCAATGGGGCCGGATGCCCATCCAAGCTCAACTTCCTCTTGGGTCTTCTTCCAAACAAGCTCATCTATCTCTTTGTCCCCTGACGACCTGCAGCTATGGTAGTGCTTCTGCTTGATCGATTTCGCCTCCTTGCACAAACTGTCCACCGTTGTTTCTGCTGGCTTGAAAGTTTTCTCAAAGATGCCATAGGTGGGAACTTCCCCTACAAGCTCAGTACCGTTTGCCAATTCTGACACCACATCTGCATCTGGATATCCCAAATCCAGCAAAATTTCTTTCCAGAGAAGCAGCCGCTTTGGCTTCAAAATATTTGCTATGTGTTCAGGCATGCTCGCTTTCATCTCCATCTCTGCTGGTCGAAGCTCCTTTGCCCTGGCTGTCCATTTGCTAAACCAGTCGGCCCTCAGCTTCGGCAAGTGACCCAGATCCTCGTTTTGAAAATTGTGAAAAACAGCCTCCATCAGCACTGGGGGTACCAACGTCGAAATTAGTTTTGGATGTCCTCTGCCCACAGCTTCTTGTATGAATTCTTCAGGTGAAAAAGGAATACCCCAAGCTTGTTCCATACAGTTGGAAAATGCTGATGATTGTGACGCAATACCCCCCATTGACCGCAGTGGTGTGACCCTTAACAACTGAGCCCCTTCTGGTAGGACTCGCAACGCAGCATCACACTCAGTTGGGATATGTAAAGAAGATTTCAATCGCTGCATTGGTTCCACCGGCATGTCATTGAGTAAATGTGCTGGGCCTCGCACGACTACCACCTGCTTGTGTTCACGCACCACTGGAGGAATGCGATAGGCTTCCGGCTGAGCAGTGGCTACTGCTCTCATGGTTTTTAAATTGATGTCATGTGACTGCAGCTGAAAACATTCATGCGGTGGACTCCACCCATGACTTACCAAAATGTCAGCGAAAGCTTTGGCAATGGCCCTTGCCAGGCCTCGAGGATAAGCAGCTTCTTCGCTAGTCGAAAAATGCGTTCCCTGTGTAGATTGCACGATTCCCCAAGGCTTGTGTATGTGAGAAGGTGACTCACCTAAACAACACAGATTGATTTGACTGAAACGCTGATGATTCCAAGCTAGCACCGTCCACTTCGGCCTGTCCCCTCCGTATGCGCATGCTTGATGGGATGTATAATTGAAATGCTTCGCAACTGATTTCCAAAATCTCGTCAACCAGAAAAGTGAAGAACGTGGATTTTCGACAACGACAATGAGCCCCCTGGCCAAAGCTTCCTGGATCGCCTCAGACAAAAATTCGTACAGCTTGTTTGCCGCAGAAACTCTGCGCCGATCCTTACCTCGCAAACCAGTCAAACCCTCTGGAAGTTCATGCGATCTCAACGGCACTGGTCCTGGGATTTTCCTGCCAACCGAGTCCCGAAGTTGAATGTTTCTGGCCAATGAACACGTACCGCATGGGGGTGCCCAAAAGATGCCAAAAACAAGAGGGGATTTCATCCACTGCTTGAAAATGTGCTGATCCCTGCTAAGTGTCAAATCCAATTTCTTCACAGTTGCAATCGCCTTGTCAACATCGTGATCAACTCCGAAGGATTCAACCAAACCAAGCTCCTTCAGACTGGCTGTGACCCTTGCGCTCCCGCAGAATACCTCTATTATGACAGGGCAAGCAATTTGCTCTTCAGAAAAAGAAAAATTGTTCTGAATGAAATGACTTCGCACTCCATCTGCACCAAATTGTTCAAAACTATCACTTCCACTTTCAGTCTGTTGCTGATGCACAAAGGGCTGAGCCGCCTCACAAGAATTCTCTGGGTCTCGGAGAACTGCGGAAAATTGTTCATCTCTGCCAACACGCTCACTGCATGGATTATGGGCTGACGGGGAGACACCCTGAGAATCTGCTGGATTGTCATGAACAAAATTTGGAACTTCCATGTCAACATCGCAAGAAGACTTACCACCTGATGCTTTTACACTATCAGTTGATAAATCTGAGGTTTCGGCTTGTGCATGTAGTCAATTACCATGCTGCAAAATACTGTGAGAGGCGTAACATTTGGAGCATATGTGCAACCCTCTGCGGCACTTGGCTCCGTCAGCAGCTTCGGAACAACCACCCTCCGAATTGAATCCAAAACAAATGGGCTCCCCCTCTGGGTTGGAGGCAGTTCCTCCCAGCTTGAATATGTGAGATGGCACACGCTGTTTGGATTTGCCACCTTTCTTGCCTCCTTTCTGTTTCAACTAAGGTTTCTGTGTGGTGGCCACTGCACCCTTTCCGCTCGACCAAGGCTGCTGCGGTTTGTTCTTCTTCTGGATGTTCCCTGGACCTTCCTTTTTGGCAATCAAAGGAAGCAAACTGAATGAAACTCGATAGCTCTCCAAAGTGCTGAGCAACTTGGTGTCCAATGCCAACACACCTGCATCATCTCTCTTTGGTTGCACCCCTTCCTCCAACAAAGCCTGCCACACCAATTTGTCGGCGGCCACGATCTGACTCACTGAGCATCGGCTATACCCTGCAGGGGGCTCCCTGTGCAAATGTGAGAACAACGTAGTGAGGTACCTGGTATAATTTGCATGTTGAACCAGGTCCGCGAAGACCAGGGCCAGGCCTCTGCGCTGCAGAGACTCTTGGACTTGCAACGCCGAAGATACAACCATATCCTGGACTTCGGTCTTTTCTTTAATAATCAAACTCTCCGATGAGATATCCAGCATTTTTGACGGGCTCTTCTGCGTCAGCACTTCATGTGTCCTGCTAACCGATTTTTCAGGAGGAATGTAACGAATTTCATTTTGTTGATACATACTTGCCGCAAGATCAAGTAGTGAATGTCCAGGTTCAAGTGGGCCTTCGATGAGCAACCCGTTCAATCTGTTTTTCAAAGACCTCATTTTGGTCTCACGCTCAGCATTGGGCACCTTCTTAATTGATGAACTGTCAGGGGCATTCACAGAATCCTGCAAGGCAGCAAGAACCATGGTCTGTGACTCGAATAAAAGCCTTTTGGCACCTGCGATGTCAGCAACACTCGCACCTGTCAAAATGTTTGAAGTAAGCCACGTCTCAAAAGCTGAATCCACAATGTTCTGACCCGGCTGTCCATGTGCGTAAGCCAGTGTTCCAAACGTTTGTAAGTTTGCAGTCTTAAGGCTCCTCTTCAGTTCATCAGACAGTTTGAGATCCAAAGTCCTCTGAATAAATTGTGCTTCAGAATCCAGGAGGGACGCCATTGAGTCCAGCCGAGGAATCGACTATGGAGACCTGCAAACAACGAAACAAATTGCAAACCCAAGCATTTAACACCTATTAACATCAGATTGCAAACTCGAACAAATGAAGTGTTCCACTCACACGTCCTTTAAAGCACATGTTGGAAATTTGACAAGCAAATAAAACGTGCCATGCATGTGATCATGAAAACTTGATGTCAATTAATCCTGTCATGCATCTCCGAGCCAATGCATCAAGAGACCAAGGATGCCATGCAATCCGAATGAACAAACCAAAACAAGGTTGCCACGCAATTCCATGAGATGCCATGCATCCATGCTTGGGTGCTTTACCCATTCACCTCACCATGTGAGAGACACAACGCACTTGTTTTAAACTGGCGGCAGCAATCCGTCTTTGACTGCATTCACCTTGCATCTTCTACAAAGTGCTACTGTGTCGAAATGTACGACAATGTCATAGTTTGAGTTCAGCACCCGGCCGCATGACAAGATGGCCTTGCCCACAGCTTTCGATTCACCCACCACAGAGTCCTTGTAGTGGACCAACTTCGATGTTTTGTGGCTCACAAAGCGGCCCGCCAGATGGTCCTTGGCCGTGTGCCTATAACACTTAGATGGAGGCGGTCTTACCTCCTCATCCGAGCTTGATGACTCCTCAGATGAAGAGCCACTTGAACTCTGGTGATCAGAGATGGTCTCTCTGTCCATTTCTTTCTCATTCTCAACGACCTCCTGGGCAGGTGAATCCTCTTCGACCTTCACCACCTCAATGGCATCTGGCTCTGCGCAAGGTGCATTTTCCTCAGCAAAGTACCCCCTGCGGGGATTGTCCGGTTGAAACTCCAAGCGCGAAATCCGCAAAATGATGTCTTGCAATTTCATCACAGATGCTACCGAAAGGTCACGCGAATATATCGCATGGGCTTCTGTGGTCGCGCTGGCATGTCTTCCCAAGATTGCTTTGTCGGGAATGGGCAGTCCAAATTTTGAGGCCCATGACAGTGCAGTAGCTTTGAGGCTATGCGACGACACCCGGGGCCCGTCAACATTGTTGTCATTGCACTCAAAGAGTAGTCTCAAAAACTTTGTAACTTCTGACGAAGTCAAGCCCCGTTTGCACAGCCCTCCACCGGCCGCCATGGGGGGCCTAAAGAGCGGTCCCTGGATCGAGCCGTCCAGATTCAAACCACAAGCTGAAAAAGCTTCAATGGCCTCCTGCACCCAAACCTGACCAGTCACTCCAATTGCCGGGATGACTATTGGAAGTAATTGGGATTTCTGGGTTGCACTCTTGGCTGTTTTGTGCAACCTTGTCGACACTTCCACGAAGCCACCTTTCCAGTCAAAATCGTGCATCACACACTCTACAAACGCCAGGTCACTGTGTCGACATCTGCCGTACAGGGCCAGGAGAGCATAGGCTGCAAGCGCCCTGTCAATGAAATTTGCCGCCTTGTTCTCCATTAAACTGTGCAATGCAACAACCTGCGCAACTGAAAGAACCTTTGCCTGTTTGAGTGGGTTTTTTCCAGAGTGCATGATCTCTGCAAGCCCTCTCACTCTCCTGCTGTTGTACACGCTGTCAAAATCTTTGAATCCAAACACATGCAACGCATATCCACAAGCAGCCAAAAAACTTGAAGCCCTTGTGGGTGCAGCCCCATCTGCTCTGAGCTTTGCCACATAGCTCCATGCGGCTTGCTCGGTCACCGGCTTGCCGTCATCCTCAGTGAAGTCTGCTCTCCACCTGAAAAAATTCAGCAATGCATTTGCCCTTGATATGGCTGTTGTCCTGGATCTGACACCGATGATTGCTTCGATCGTTTCATAGGCGCCCAATTTTTGCTCTTGAATGTTGCCTCCATGTCCAATGATGGTTTGGCCTACCTCCGACCCCAAAAGGTTGATCCTGATGATGCTGAACCATTTGTCCACTGCCAAATCCAGATCTTCCTGTCGTTTCTCCAAGAAATTCTGATCAGTTACAACCGACAAGGCTTTCTCAAACAGAGCTCCAGACAAGGTCGCACTTGGGGCCCCAACCATTGTCGGTCCCGGTGAAGTCTGGCGAAGTGCTCTTCACCTGGAGTTTTTGGTCTTCCAAGACCACTATCCTCTTGTCCACCTTCTGGCTAAGCAACTCCTGTTCCCTGCTGACACACTTGCTCAAAGGAAGATATCTCGGCGCTGCTTCTTCAATCATGGTCGTGAAGAAATCTGCTATGCAATGAGCTGGCTCATAGTCACCGGTGATCTCAAAACCTGTGATCCTGTCACTGATCCGGCGCATCCGCTCATCCCTCTCCTGAGGAGGCAGCCTTTTCACTTGACCCTCGACTGAGGGCTCAATCCGCTGCTTAATTGCAGCAACAGATATGGTGATTGCTTCATAGCACAGCTGCCTCATCATTGATTCAACACCCAGGGAGGCATTGTTGAAGGTGCTATCCATCAGATTTCGAAAACGAGCATCATCAATCTGACCTGGTTGGCCACAGACACTGAAGGCCAAAATGTTGAACGACGTGATATTCTGGTCCTTCAGCAAATCGACTTGATCCTCACTCAAGCCTATCTCGATGCTCCTGTGTCTGAAACTCGCCTTTGATTCCGCATACGCGGACATGGCAGCTCGGTCAAACCTATTGCTAAAAGACAAATAAGACCAAAGGTTTCATACCAAATTCAAGGCTTCAAACTCGTCCAGTGACATGCAAAATTCCATCAGACAAGTAAAAACCTGGTGTGTCAAAAAACGGCCATTGAAAAACATTAAAATGTTCATGAGAGTTCGGAAATCGAAAATGCTCCAAACATGAAATCAAAGAGGCCAAGTACCTCTTGCTGCATTCAGCTGTGTCTGCCGGGCATTCCCGGACTAGGGCCGATATCGACAAAATTCCATGTATGTTCATGTGATCATCAGAGCGCATCCGCTCCCAGCATGTGCTTGCATTCCAAGCTGACATATGTGCATGTTTGCATTCAAACGACCGTACGGCATTGAAATGGTGGCTGAATTTAAAAATTGAAATAAAGACTCCAGAGGCGCTCCTTTTTGTCCGTCATAGCATATGTCTCAAGCTCTTGGCTCCATGCTGCATTCAGCTGGGAGCAGGCAAACGAGCTCCTTCGACGGCCATCCTGCTTGTGTAGCAAACTTGGCATCTTGTGCATTCACATGATGCGCCGCCCTGAACAGCTGAGTACCGTCCAGATACCACTCGGCCGCATACGAACCTTTGACTGCCTTCCGACAGCAAGTGCATGACATGTGATTGCACATGCATCCATGTCACCAAGCCAGCTTTGACTTGCACCAGGTTTGGACGATGCCTAGGCTCCACAAGTTCCCACAGCGTCGTGGTGTCCAAGGGCTCAGCCTCCAATCTTTCGTCAGCATCAGACGAAGTGTCTGTATTGGAGTCATCTGTGTCGCCCACCATGCGCTCTGAGAAAGGCATCTCGTACGATTCCTCGGACTCCCCATCAGAGTTGCCCTCTGCATCGCAGCGGTCGCCAGCTGGCATTTCTGCTGCAAAACGTCCACTTCTGGTGTTGTCCGGCATGAACTGCTTCGATGCAATGAGCTGTATCACACGACACAACTCCCTCAGCGGTGGTGCCATCGCATCTCTGGAATAGATGGTGGCGCTCTTTGCACTCGGGTCCAGGTGATGACCCAAGCTTCGGCGCAATGTCAGACTGCTCCCTGCTTTGGCCATCCAACTCAATGCAGTCACTTTCAAAGAATGACTCCTGATCTCGTTCGTGCTGCCATGGGCCACTTTGAGCACGTTCCTCAAGTACCTGCCCACCTCTGAAGCTTGAAGTGCATCGGCCAGAGGAACTCCTTGTTCATCAAAACGGCACAAAAGCGGGTAAGCAAGCCCTCCTTTCGATGCTACTCCCATCGCCTCTCTGGCTTGGAGGTAGTGGTCCCACCAGCACCAATCCGAAACTCCTGTCATTGGAGCCACAAGTGGAAGGAGCGTCCTCTTGTGAGTCTGTGATCGAGCCCCTTTTGTGTGCAGAGCGCTTGCCTCAATGAACCCTGCCACTGTATGCTTGTCCAGGCTTGCACCATCGGTTTGCACTCTGTCGATGACAAGCTTGACAACCCTGGACATGTCAGAGGCTCTAGCACAGCTGTAAACCATCAGCAAAAGGCCTCCCACAAGAATCCTGTCCTGCATTGCTTCTGCCGTGCAGCACGTCTCCTCCAAAGCCGCCACCTGTCGCACTGAAAGAGGTGAAGCCTGCTTCACACAAGGTGCACGCTTTGCCAACAGCTCTGCAAGCCCTGAAACCCTTTGAGGCACTCTGTCTCGCTCCAACCCATGCAGCCCAAGCATTGCTGCACTGAATCTGACAGCTTCCAGAAAAGACCTACCAACACTTGCTGAAGACTTGGGGTCATCATGAAGTGCCCTCAAATAGGAATACAAGCTCCTCTCTGAAAGTGGAAATGCATTCAAACTCAGTGCCTCACAGTGCGCCGCATACCTGCTCATGGAACCTAATCGCTTTCCCAGTGTGCTGGTTGCCTTTGCAGCAAAGCATTCTGCCAGGCACCGCATGATCAGGTCCCGGCTCGGCTGAGATACATCTGATAGTGCATCATCCAGCACACTGAAAGCACTGCAATTGATGAGAACGAGAGTCACCCAGCCAAACAAGTAAGACTTACGCTTGCTGTTCTCATTCTCACTGGAAGCACGGCTGAAAGAACCCAGGTAAATCGGCTTAGCTGCACCTGTCCTGAGCGCCTTTGCAATGGGCGTCTTCTCCATGCTGTCGTTGGAGAGGTCCACAAAACAAGGTGCAGGTCGTTTCAATGCAACTGGTTTGAAAAGCTGGTCAACAACTGAAGTGCCACTGCCAAAAACTGTCCCCAGGAATCCATCTCCTTCCCACATAAACTTGGGAGAGTCCACAGCCAAAGTACTGTTGAAAACTTGCAGAGCAGTTTCATGATCCAAGTTCGGATTGATGTCATTCCTGTCAAAACGATCTGAGGATCCAGCAGCACTCGGAGACACTTGGTGTCCCAAAGCATCACAATCGCCAAATTGCGACCCTATTGCTCTGCGCAAGTTCAGTCGATCAATAGACTCGTCTATGCCACTACCACATGCTGACCACTCATCCAAACTCTTCATGGCGTCATTTGCATTCACATCAAAAAGATCGACATTGTCCATGTAACATCCCGAAATGACTGAAAACTGAGAAATCGGGTCATCAACCAGGCTTGCAAACTGAGAAATTGGATCAGAAGCAGAAACACCTGATGAGTTCCGGACCATCGCATCTGACTCAATTTGAAGCTCAACTTGTCCAAAAGCACCATGTTCAAATGCAAGCCGTGTACTGTCCAAATGCAAAACATCACTCTGTTGAGAAGTGTCCTGGTTTACTTCAGCAACTTCGTCTGAGTCCACGACAGTGCCAGCAACAGAAGCGCTGCCAAGCTCGACTTCAACCCCCATTGGATTTGCAAAGAATCTCTGAGTCACACTGACAGCAAGTAAATGAAAATCACGATGATAACTGCAACAGCTCCACACGTGAAACCAGTCAAAATGCCAAACCTGTCCAAAACCACGAGGCGGTACAAGAAGGCAAAGTCACTGCCTTTTGGCCTTTTTGAATAGGCTGGCCAGAGATCCACTGAGCTCGGCGCATCGCAACAAGCCAACTCAACAAATGAGTTGAACCCACCCACCCACCACTGAAGCCAAAAGGTTGGTGGATATTAGATAATGTCATGCAGCCACGACAAGAATCTCAAATCCACAAGAAACTTGAACACATAAAAGTTCAGGAAACAAAACTGAAACAGTTGGAAGACATGACAACAGAGTCGGCAGTTTCAGTTTGTGAATAAAAATGGGTTTCAGGAAATAAACGCGTGCAAACGCGCAGCGCGAGACGCGTGCAAGAAACCCCAAACACCAGTGCGTGCAGCAGTACGCGTCACTCTGTGCAAAGTGGCACAGAGCCACAAGTAAAGGAGTGACATTGTTCCTTAAAGATAAAGCTGTATCTACTTCGTAGAAGAAAGCTTAAATCGAAGGACCTGCCTTGGATTTTTGCTCCTCCGCTACTTTTCAGAATCGTCAACAGCAGGGCAGCCACGAAGTCGATTGATTGCGGCTTGGGCGATTCTGCACATTGCACCGTCTGGTTGACATTGCTAGCCGACAAGTCATCAATCAAGCGTATCTTCCCAGGTTGTCGGAGTCCAAAACGTCGGCTTACAATTGCATCAGCTGGCAGGTTCGCTATATCAATGGGGCCGGATGCCCATCCAAGCTCAACTTCCTCTTGGGTCTTCTTCCAAACAAGCTCATCTATCTCTTTGTCCCCTGACGACCTGCAGCTATGGTAGTGCTTCTGCTTGATCGATTTCGCCTCCTTGCACAAACTGTCCACCGTTGTTTCTGCTGGCTTGAAAGTTTTCTCAAAGATGCCATAGGTGGGAACTTCCCCTACAAGCTCAGTACCGTTTGCCAATTCTGACACCACATCTGCATCTGGATATCCCAAATCCAGCAAAATTTCTTTCCAGAGAAGCAGCCGCTTTGGCTTCAAAATATTTGCTATGTGTTCAGGCATGCTCGCTTTCATCTCCATCTCTGCTGGTCGAAGCTCCTTTGCCCTGGCTGTCCATTTGCTAAACCAGTCGGCCCTCAGCTTCGGCAAGTGACCCAGATCCTCGTTTTGAAAATTGTGAAAAACAGCCTCCATCAGCACTGGGGGTACCAACGTCGAAATTAGTTTTGGATGTCCTCTGCTCACAGCTTCTTGTATGAATTCTTCAGGTGAAAAAGGAATACCCCAAGCTTGTTCCATACAGTTGGAAAATGCTGATGATTGTGACGCAATACCCCCCATTGACCGCAGTGGTGTGACCCTTAACAACTGAGCCCCTTCTGGTAGGACTCGCAACGCAGCATCACACTCAGTTGGGATATGTAAAGAAGATTTCAATCGCTGCATTGGTTCCACCGGCATGTCATTGAGTAAATGTGCTGGGCCTCGCACGACTACCACCTGCTTGTGTTCACGCACCACTGGAGGAATGCGATAGGCTTCCGGCTGAGCAGTGGCTACTGCTCTCATGGTTTTTAAATTGATGTCATGTGACTGCAGCTGAAAACATTCATGCGGTGGACTCCACCCATGACTTACCAAAATGTCAGCGAAAGCTTTGGCAATGGCCCTTGCCAGGCCTCGAGGATAAGCAGCTTCTTCGCTAGTCGAAAAATGCGTTCCCTGTGTAGATTGCACGATTCCCCAAGGCTTGTGTATGTGAGAAGGTGACTCACCTAAACAACACAGATTGATTTGACTGAAACGCTGATGATTCCAAGCTAGCACCGTCCACTTCGGCCTGTCCCCTCCGTATGCGCATGCTTGATGGGATGTATAATTGAAATGCTTCGCAACTGATTTCCAAAATCTCGTCAACCAGAAAAGTGAAGAACGTGGATTTTCGACAACGACAATGAGCCCCCTGGCCAAAGCTTCCTGGATCGCCTCAGACAAAAATTCGTACAGCTTGTTTGCCGCAGAAACTCTGCGCCGATCCTTACCTCGCAAACCAGTCAAACCCTCTGGAAGTTCATGCGATCTCAACGGCACTGGTCCTGGGATTTTCCTGCCAACCGAGTCCCGAAGTTGAATGTTTCTGGCCAATGAACACGTACCGCATGGGGGTGCCCAAAAGATGCCAACAACAAGAGGGGATTTCATCCACTGCTTGAAAATGTGCTGATCCCTGCTAAGTGTCAAATCCAATTTCTTCACAGTTGCAATCGCCTTGTCAACATCGTGATCAACTCCGAAGGATTCAACCAAACCAAGCTCCTTCAGACTGGCTGTGACCCTTGCGCTCCCGCAGAATACCTCTATTATGACAGGGCAAGCAATTTGCTCTTCAGAAAAAGAAAAATTGTTCTGAATGAAATGACTTCGCACTCCATCTGCACCAAATTGTTCAAAACTATCACTTCCACTTTCAGTCTGTTGCTGATGCACAAAGGGCTGAGCCGCCTCACAAGAATTCTCTGGGTCTCGGAGAACTGCGGAAAATTGTTCATCTCTGCCAACACGCTCACTGCATGGATTATGGGCTGACGGGGAGACACCCTGAGAATCTGCTGGATTGTCATGAACAAAATTTGGAACTTCCATGTCAACATCGCAAGAAGACTTACCACCTGATGCTTTTACACTATCAGTTGATAAATCTGAGGTTTCGGCTTGTGCATGTAGTCAATTACCATGCTGCAAAATACTGTGAGAGGCGTAACATTTGGAGCATATGTGCAACCCTCTGCGGCACTTGGCTCCGTCAGCAGCTTCGGAACAACCACCCTCCGAATTGAATCCAAAACAAATGGGCTCCCCCTCTGGGTTGGAGGCAGTTCCTCCCAGCTTGAATATGTGAGATGGCACACGCTGTTTGGATTTGCCACCTTTCTTGCCTCCTTTCTGTTTCAACTAAGGTTTCTGTGTGGTGGCCACTGCACCCTTTCCGCTCGACCAAGGCTGCTGCGGTTTGTTCTTCTTCTGGATGTTCCCTGGACCTTCCTTTTTGGCAATCAAAGGAAGCAAACTGAATGAAACTCGATAGCTCTCCAAAGTGCTGAGCAACTTGGTGTCCAATGCCAACACACCTGCATCATCTCTCTTTGGTTGCACCCCTTCCTCCAACAAAGCCTGCCACACCAATTTGTCGGCGGCCACGATCTGACTCACTGAGCATCGGCTATACCCTGCAGGGGGCTCCCTGTGCAAATGTGAGAACAACGTAGTGAGGTACCTGGTATAATTTGCATGTTGAACCAGGTCCGCGAAGACCAGGGCCAGGCCTCTGCGCTGCAGAGACTCTTGGACTTGCAACGCCGAAGATACAACCATATCCTGGACTTCGGTCTTTTCTTTAATAATCAAACTCTCCGATGAGATATCCAGCATTTTTGACGGGCTCTTCTGCGTCAGCACTTCATGTGTCCTGCTAACCGATTTTTCAGGAGGAATGTAACGAATTTCATTTTGTTGATACATACTTGCCGCAAGATCAAGTAGTGAATGTCCAGGTTCAAGTGGGCCTTCGATGAGCAACCCGTTCAATCTGTTTTTCAAAGACCTCATTTTGGTCTCACGCTCAGCATTGGGCACCTTCTTAATTGATGAACTGTCAGGGGCATTCACAGAATCCTGCAAGGCAGCAAGAACCATGGTCTGTGACTCGAATAAAAGCCTTTTGGCACCTGCGATGTCAGCAACACTCGCACCTGTCAAAATGTTTGAAGTAAGCCACGTCTCAAAAGCTGAATCCACAATGTTCTGACCCGGCTGTCCATGTGCGTAAGCCAGTGTTCCAAACGTTTGTAAGTTTGCAGTCTTAAGGCTCCTCTTCAGTTCATCAGACAGTTTGAGATCCAAAGTCCTCTGAATAAATTGTGCTTCAGAATCCAGGAGGGACGCCATTGAGTCCAGCCGAGGAATCGACTATGGAGACCTGCAAACAACGAAACAAATTGCAAACCCAAGCATTTAACACCTATTAACATCAGATTGCAAACTCGAACAAATGAAGTGTTCCACTCACACGTCCTTTAAAGCACATGTTGGAAATTTGACAAGCAAATAAAACGTGCCATGCATGTGATCATGAAAACTTGATGTCAATTAATCCTGTCATGCATCTCCGAGCCAATGCATCAAGAGACCAAGGATGCCATGCAATCCGAATGAACAAACCAAAACAAGGTTGCCACGCAATTCCATGAGATGCCATGCATCCATGCTTGGGTGCTTTACCCATTCACCTCACCATGTGAGAGACACAACGCACTTGTTTTAAACTGGCGGCAGCAATCCGTCTTTGACTGCATTCACCTTGCATCTTCTACAAAGTGCTACTGTGTCGAAATGTACGACAATGTCATAGTTTGAGTTCAGCACCCGGCCGCATGACAAGATGGCCTTGCCCACAGCTTTCGATTCACCCACCACAGAGTCCTTGTAGTGGACCAACTTCGATGTTTTGTGGCTCACAAAGCGGCCCGCCAGATGGTCCTTGGCCGTGTGCCTATAACACTTAGGTGGAGGCGGTCTTACCTCCTCATCCGAGCTTGATGACTCCTCAGATGAAGAGCCACTTGAACTCTGGTGATCAGAGATGGTCTCTCTGTCCATTTCTTTCTCATTCTCAACGACCTCCTGGGCAGGTGAATCCTCTTCGACCTTCACCACCTCAATGGCATCTGGCTCTGCGCAAGGTGCATTTTCCTCAGCAAAGTACCCCCTGCGGGGATTGTCCGGTTGAAACTCCAAGCGCGAAATCCGCAAAATGATGTCTTGCAATTTCATCACAGATGCTACCGAAAGGTCACGCGAATATATCGCATGGGCTTCTGTGGTCGCGCTGGCATGTCTTCCCAAGATTGCTTTGTCGGGAATGGGCAGTCCAAATTTTGAGGCCCATGACAGTGCAGTAGCTTTGAGGCTATGCGACGACACCCGGGGCCCGTCAACATTGTTGTCATTGCACTCAAAGAGTAGTCTCAAAAACTTTGTAACTTCTGACGAAGTCAAGCCCCGTTTGCACAGCCCTCCACCGGCCGCCATGGGGGGCCTAAAGAGCGGTCCCTGGATCGAGCCGTCCAGATTCAAACCACAAGCTGAAAAAGCTTCAATGGCCTCCTGCACCCAAACCTGACCAGTCACTCCAATTGCCGGGATGACTATTGGAAGTAATTGGGATTTCTGGGTTGCACTCTTGGCTGTTTTGTGCAACCTTGTCGACACTTCCACGAAGCCACCTTTCCAGTCAAAATCGTGCATCACACACTCTACAAACGCCAGGTCACTGTGTCGACATCTGCCGTACAGGGCCAGGAGAGCATAGGCTGCAAGCGCCCTGTCAATGAAATTTGCCGCCTTGTTCTCCATTAAACTGTGCAATGCAACAACCTGCGCAACTGAAAGAACCTTTGCCTGTTTGAGTGGGTTTTTTCCAGAGTGCATGATCTCTGCAAGCCCTCTCACTCTCCTGCTGTTGTACACGCTGTCAAAATCTTTGAATCCAAACACATGCAACGCATATCCACAAGCAGCCAAAAAACTTGAAGCCCTTGTGGGTGCAGCCCCATCTGCTCTGAGCTTTGCCACATAGCTCCATGCGGCTTGCTCGGTCACCGGCTTGCCGTCATCCTCAGTGAAGTCTGCTCTCCACCTGAAAAAATTCAGCAATGCATTTGCCCTTGATATGGCTGTTGTCCTGGATCTGACACCGATGATTGCTTCGATCGTTTCATAGGCACCCAATTTTTGCTCTTGAATGTTGCCTCCATGTCCAATGATGGTTTGGCCTACCTCCGACCCCAAAAGGTTGATCCTGATGATGCTGAACCATTTGTCCACTGCCAAATCCAGATCTTCCTGTCGTTTCTCCAAGAAATTCTGATCAGTTACAACCGACAAGGCTTTCTCAAACAGAGCTCCAGACAAGGTCGCACTTGGGGCCCCAACCATTGTCGGTCCTGCTGCAATTGCGTCCTCCGACAGGTTGTCAGTGGCTTGAACCCAACTTCTCAACTGCTGCTTCTGAACCTTCAGGACGTTGGGCCCCTTTGAAAAGATTGTCTTTGCAACTCCTTTCTCCCAAGGCATGACCACTGACATAGGTTCTGCATTTCTAATGAAAGCATCTTGCAACATTTGAGAAAAATTGTCATTGTCCAAAACCGGACCTCTGGGGACCTGCGCAGCTCCCAAGCTAAGGGCATCCATACGTCTCCTCGATCTGACCCTAGCTGAATCGGCCATGGCAATGACTGCACCCTGCAAAACTTCAGATGAAGATGAAATGTCAGTTGCAACAAAATCTTCTGATTCAGGTAAAGCACCAAACCAATCAAAATTGCCATCGTCCTGCACAAGGGGTTCACCTACATGCTCAAAACCGTAATCATTTTCTGAATGATCCACCTCAGCCTCAGGTGACGACTTAAACTGAGTCAATGTCTTCGTTCTCCACGGCATCGTCCCAAACCCCACCTTGTCCGAGCGCCACTGGCAAAACTGGCACAGGTAAAAAAGGCTGTAAAGGAGGTGTCGGGACACTGAAGCCCGAGGCTGAATAGCCTAGCCTGATTGCAGTTGAACTCAAAAACAAGTCCTTACGATCCACGTACAGAGCTAAGCAAGATCGCAACAATCGATGGCCTTCTGCAGGTGACAAAGAAGAAAACAAAACCTCTTGGACACTGAACCAATCTGGAATGTTCAACAGAAACGCTGCCTGTCGATTGCACTGTGCTAAACGGTCCAAACTGATCCACATCAACTGTCTGACAAGATCCAAACGATGAATAAAATGGCAGTGCAAAATCCACACAAGAAGCAGCAAAAATGCCAGAGTCCAAAAAGGATGGGAGCTGTCACGACCGGTTGAAGAGCCAACGGTGAAGTAATGGCTACCCGGCCCCGCTCCCGCGCGCCCATCTACGGGCAAAACAACCTCAATTTAAGAGGTGTCCCACCACCCACCCTCAGCCAAATTCCACGAGGATATCATTCATTGAATGTTCATGTATGTTCCATGTAAACGAAGTGCACTTTCGAAACTGTCAAGAATGTCAGAATTGAACCTGTACCTGTGAGTACCTTTTCCACTGAATTGCAGCGACACTGAAAAAGTGATTTGCAAAAGAAACAGCATTTGTTTTCCCATTTGTTGTTGGCCCTTGGTTCAGTGCACGTGAGTAAGGAGTGTTTGCCAAAACAGACAAAAGAAGATAGCAGCACGAAACTTTGTTTCTCACAAGTTTTGAAATAAGGAGCTATCAACAAGTTGACCGCTTACTGCAGTGCATTGCAGCATAGCAATACCAATGGGTCAGCCAGGAAATCCAGAAAAAACACCACTCTCCCTACGAGTGGGCCAGCTGAATAGCCTCTGATCCGAAAAGGAGGAACACGATCCATGTGCCAGTCTTTGCGGGCTGTCCCACAGAGAGTGCCACTGGGTCGCGCCAGTGTAACTCGCTGCAGTGCAGCCTGGTCCATGGCTCCGGCCGGCTAGATCCTACTCCCCCTACAAAGCAAGACAGACATGCCAGTAGGACGAGGCGACAGGGCAGCCAAGACAACCAAAAGGTCAACAAACGAATTCAGGAACAAACCAACCTCCAAATGTGACGGGAGGGAGGAAGTCACTGTGGCGGGTGTGTGTGTGATGTTGGGGCCGGCAATCCTTAGCAGTCCTTAGTCACCTTAGTAAGCTGGCAACAAGCACAGCCCACAAATCCACCAACAAAACGGGAGGAGCAGACCAAAAACACCAGACAAAAACAAAACCAACAACCACCACAAGAGGCCAAAAAAAGGGGCAACAAACCACACACCAAAACACACACAGGCAGCGAAGCGGGCAGAGAAAGCCAAAGAACGAACAGGGACGAGGGGGAAGACAGCAGGCGGAGGCCAGCAGCAGCAGGACAAAGAGGGCGCCCGGGAAGGCAGCAAGGACAGGAGGGAGGAAGCAGCACAGGCCAAGGAGAAGGGCGCATGCAGCTCTAGCGGCGTCCTGAAAGGGGTTCTGGATCACCCAAGGGTGAATACCTCAGTGCAGGAAGGTAGGGCACCAGAACAACACTCGCAACATGGTGTAGAGGGCAAAGCCCCACACAGGGCCGAAGCCTTTGTTGCCATGAGGAGAAGTGAAGACAGGTGCCAAGCCGTCACAACACACCATGCCACAGGCATGACAACCGGGCCGTCGCAAATACAACCAGATACCCAGAGGGAGGGACCAGCAGAACACTGACTGGACCAGAAGGCACCAGACGACTAACCGAGGGGGCGGGCGGGGCAGGGGAGGAACGAAGCAAGGAGAGAGCGAGCCAAGCCGAAGCAACCCCACACACCAAAAACAAAGCCGAGCAAAGCAACCAAGCAGGAAACACCAAACAGCAGCAACCAGAGAAAAGAACCTCGCAGCACCCGAAAGGAGAACCACAAGCAAAGCACAGAGGCAAATGGACACCCGACACAAAAGGACAGCCAAAGCAGGCAGTAGCAAATGAGAGGCCGAGAGACACAGTCCCAAGCACACACCCAAAACAGGACGAAGGAGGGGAACAAAGTACCCCAGAGAAAAGAGACCTGCCAGACACCTAGAGACAGTAGACCAAAAGAACAAGATCCAAAAAAGAGGAAGAATTAACGAGTACGAGTGTACCTGCCCAGTCTGCGGACAGACACACACGCACTCAAAGGGTCAAGATCTAGGTTGAGGGGATGTAGAATCCAAACAAAGATACGAGTGCATCTGCTTCGTCAACGGGCATGCACCCGAGTATACATGCAAGTGCGCTGTAGATCAAGACCTTAGTACTGCAATGGTGGAAACGAAAAACGGGGGGAAGAAGAAGGAGTGCACCTGTCCAGTCTGCGGACAGACACACCCCGAACAAACTGTTTCTGCATCAGAGTGAAACAAGAATGGGTGAAACGAGAGTCAGGACGGGTGTTTCACGAGACAACAACAACACGAGGGGGGAGGGGGGTCGCTATGTCATGCGGCGTGTAATGTGTTCAAGGTAATGGTGTTTGTCAGATTTGAGAGTGACAGTCCAACTGTTTTCAAGGGCAAACGAGACAGGGTTATCTAGTTCTTGAGTAGTGGCGAGCCGTCGGAGCTCACTACATTTTGCTTTGAACTCATCTATGTCACCTCGGGGTGGCTTTTTGCGTACTCGCCTGCTAGGGAAGTCCCGATTCTGCACATGTTGTTGCAGCGTGGCTTCAGGAGCATAGTGAGCCGGTAGCTGGTAGAGGACTCTGCTCGTAAACTTGTCGTAGCTAATCTCCCAATGAGAGAACATATGACGGTGGTTCATTTGCTTCCTTAGTTGGTCAACAAATTGGTGCAAGTCCTTTGTTACATGCCAGAGCCGCAGTAGGCTGTAGTTGGAAGGCCAGTCCAGCGGACACAGCGTCGCGGTCTGCTTCCACTTTTCCGGCGTCAGGCCTGTGGGAGATGGGATAATGACATCGAGCGTGACTCTGGTTGCTCCTGCTGGCTGAAGGCCGCGCATGACTCCACTACCCCCATCTGATAGCTACGAATGACTTCCGTAAAACAGCCAGCGACTTGTAAGTCTTCATCGAGGTCAAGGTGTAGACCAGGTACTTTCTTGTCAGTAAACTTGACTGCTTGAAGCACTTGGTCACCATCATCCCGTTGTGTGTTTGCCGCTTCCGGGTAGGACATTGGATGGTCACCTCCTGCGGCAATTGTGTAGCACCCCCAGCATCACCACTGAAACACGGCGCCACCTTACTCGCTCAGCTGGCCGGGAACCATGCTAAAAGGGCAGACACTCCACTGGCAAGATCGATCCCTGCATTGGGTCGTGATAAGGTTGATTGGTGACAACTACTTTGACTGGGCCACTTGGAGCGCGGTCTGCGATGACTCCACGCTCGGATAGCAAAAGAAAGCCGAAGATTGACATGACTGCAAACAACAGTTTCGCCATACCAACTTTACATTCGGCAACGTAGCTCTAGTTGTTGCAGGTTCGCTAGACGTGCCAACCGCAGAACTGTTCCTGAAAGACCTGCAGTGCATTGCAGTATGCAAAGTAAACAAATGTAGTGTATCCAAACCCGTACCACTACTCACCCACAGAGAGGCAGGCTGCAGAGTCACCAAGTCCCGTCCACCAACTGACGAACCATGTAGGCAAACTTGTGCTGCTCGCGGGTGCCCCAGGCTGTACTACAGGGAGCACCACTGGATTGCTCCAGTGAGACTCACTGCAGCGCAGCCCTTCGGCCGGCTACCTACCGCCCCTCTCAGATAGACAACCAATCAACCTCCCCCGGAGGAGGGCAAGCAAAGAAAGAGGTGCAAAAACAGGGGCCCTAGGGGGCGCCAAAAGAGTCCAGTCCTCAGTCACCTTAGTGAAAATTGCTATCAACTAAGTCACTCCACACTGATCGAAAAGCACTCTCGCACCAATCTAAGCTCCAGACGTCGCACGCCTAAGTGAGGGCAGGGGAGATTGCAGAAGAGGACAGGGGCGGAGTATGCCGCACTTACTGGCAAGAATAACAATAGTGTAGCTTAGCGGTGTCCAATGGGGACCTGGATGATCGATGAATACCTCAGCGTGGTAATACTGAGCACCCTAACAACACATGCATCATGGTAGAGGGCAAAACAAACCCCACACAGGGCCTTTCCTGTCACAAAAAGCAACCGACTAAGGTACCACGGTACCGTGTTAATTCACGGTTCGTAGGGACGGAGGCCTTCAGCACCTCCCCTACGCTATATCTCAGTTTAACGTCCGCCCGGACCCTCCATGGTTTTGGGCACCCCATCCCCCTACCCATGTTAAGAAAGCCGTCACGATTCCGCCGAACAACAAAACAAAACGAAACAAAAAACACAAGCAAAACAAACGATAGCATCTTTCCACTTGGCTTTTCGCTTGTTTCGCACGTATCACCAAGAGGCGCTTAAGTTTTTCGTCTACTGTTCAGCATCATATGTCACAGAAAGAACATGTGGATTTCACACATCGTTTTGTGCGAAAGGGTTGCGGCGGACAAATTGAGCAATTTTATCTTAGTTTTTGCGAAAGGTTGCGGCGGACAAGTTGAAATCGCAATTTTACTTCAGTTTTTGACGATCAAATCTCGTTTCGTGCGAAAGGGTTGCGCGGGACGACTTGAACTCGCACTTTTACCTCAGTTTTTGAGGATCGAAGCTCATTTCGTGCGAAAGGGTTGCGCGGGACGACTTGAACTCG